TGGCACATCTCATTTCCATGGAGATTATTTGGCCCCACCCCCTCCTTCATGGTCTATTGACTTTGAAACTTGTGCTTAGTTTTCATGTATTAGTAGGGGCCTCGGTGGCCGAGTGGTCTAAGTAGTTACTACTGTAATCACTAGCCAGTCAACGCTGAGGTTGTGAGTTTTGATTTCATCAAAAATTGAACTATTGATCTAACCATGTATTTAGATTTTTTATTTGTGGGCCCCGCTATCAAATTGGTTTATATTGAGGTCAAAAGGGTCCAAAATTAAACTTTGTTTTATTTCATCAAAAATTGAATTATTGGGGTTCTTTGATATGCCAAATCTAACCGTGTATTTAGATTATTTTTTTGGGGTCCAGTTTTCATATTGGTCTACATTAATGTCCAAAGGGTCCAAAATTAAACTTAGTTTGATTTTAACAAAAATTGAATTCTTGGGGTTCTTTGATATGCTGAATCTTAACATGTACTTAGTTTTTATACGACCGCAAAAAAAATTTTGTGGTCGTATATTGGTATGACGTTGGCGTCGTCGTTGGCGTCCGAAGACACATTAGTTTTCGCACTCTAACTTTAGTTTAAGTGAATGGATCTCTATGAAAATTTACCATAAGGTTCAATACCACAAAAGGAAGGTGGGGATTGATTTTGGGGGTTATGGTACCAACAGTTAAGGAATTAGGGGCCAAAAATAAGCCTTTTTGTAACTTCCAGACATAACTTGTGTGTAACTGTATGGATCTCTCTGACATTGTACCACAAGGTTCCATATCACAAAGGGAATGCTGGGATTGATTTTGGGGGTAATTGCCTCCAAATTTGAGGAATAAGGGGCCAAAAAGGGGCAAAAAACAAGCATTTTTCTAGTTTCATGACAATAACTTGTGTGTAAGTGTATGGATTTCTCTGACATTGTATCACAAGGTTCCATATCACAAAGGGAATGCTGGGATTGATTTTGGGGGTAATTGCCTCAAAATTTTAGGAATTAGGGGCCAAAAAGGGGCAGAAAACAAGCATTTTTCTAGTTTCCAGACAATAACTTGTGTGTAAGTGTATGGATCTTTATGAAATTGTACTACAAGGTTCCATATCACGAAGGGAAAGCTGGAATTGAGTTTGGGGGTAATTGCCCAAAAAGTTAAGAAATTAGGGGCCAAAAAGGGGCCAAAAATAAGCATTTTTCTAGTTTCTAGACAATAACTTGTGTTCAGGTGTATGAATCTCTCTGAAATTGTACTGCATGGTACCATACCACAAAGGGAAGGCTGGGATTGATTTTGGGGGTAATTCCCTCAAAATTTTAGGAATTAGGGGCCATAAAAGGGCAAAAAAACAAGCATTTTTCTAGTTTCAGGACAATAACTTGTGTGTAATTGTATGGATCTTTATGAAATTGTACTGCAAGGTTCCATATCACAAAGGGAAGGCTGGGATTGCGTTTGGGGGTGATGAATCATAAGGGGGTTCAAAAAATTTGGGGGGGGGGGGGATTTTTTTTTCCTTTTTTTTCTTTAAAATTTTCCATTTTAAATTGGTTATTTCTGATTTATATATAAAGCAAATAATAATGATATGGTTTGAAGAGGTAAATTAAAAAATTTTAAGTTCTTAGACCACTTTCATTCTGTGTCAGAAACCTATGCTGTGTCAAATATTTAATTACAATCCAAATTCAGTGCTGTATCAAGCTTGAATGTTGTGTCCATACTTGCCCCAACTGTTCAGGGTTTCGACCTCTGCGGTCGTATCAAGCTGCACCCCAGCGGAGCATTTTATTTGATTATGGGCCCAGTTTTCAATTTGGTCCAAAGCGGGTCCAAAATTAAACTTTGTTTAATTTTAACAAAAATTGAATATATGGGGTTCTTCGATATGCTGAATCTAACCATGTATTTAGATTTTTGATATTTGGGCCTGGTTATCAAATTGGTCCACATTGAGGTTTAAAGGGTCCAAAATTGAACTTTATTTGATTTCATCAATCTATGCTGTGTCAAATATTTAATCACAATTCAAATTCAGTGCTGTTTCAAGCTTGAATGTTGTGTCCATACTTGCCCCAACTGTTCAGGGTTTGACCTCTGCGGTCGTATCAAGCTGCGCCCAGCGGAGCATTTTATTGCAATTAAATTATTTGTACTAGCTCTTTTTTATGCAACTAATCATTGGGAGAATAAAACCATTATGATAATTTCTTGAATCAATATTTAGAAATTTCTTAGTCTTAGAAAGTGAATAGAGTCTTAATGAAACTGATGAACATCAATTATTAACATGTAGTTAACTGTCAGAAATTGAGAGAGGAATACAGATGAAGGAATACTAAAGTCTCTAAGCAGATCTAAAGGTTTTGTGCCACAATATTTGAGGATGAAATTAATTTTCTTCTTTGGCTCAAAAAATTAATCTCTCTAATTTTTAAAAAGAATATACATATTGGTGAAAAGAGTTCTTGTTATCTTGATGTTACACCTAAATTATAAGGTAATTGTCATTTTAGAATTATACATCTGTTATCTTTTACCTATGACTTATCTTTGTGGGGAGAAACACTTGCAATTATGTCTAAATTCAAATTAAGAATGTTAGTCCAAAAATCATTATGACATTTTGAAAGGCTATTAAAATATTTTGCTGTGACACTTTCCTACGACATCATAATGCCAAAGCCATTTTTTTTTTCGATTGGACTTTGAGAGAGAATTTCCTTTTTTTTAGACCCAATTTTCAAGGAAAAACATTTACAGAAATTTCCAAAAGTAATGATTAGATAAGTTACAATACCATCCAATGTACCGATGACCTACTGCTTTTTTTAAATGGTTTCCCTGATTTCCCAAGATCCTTCACTTTTGGAGAGTATGAAATAAAAGTTTGCATCGAACTCTGTAAAAGAGAGGCGAAAGATACTTGGGGGACATTTAAACTCATAAGTCGAAAATAAACTGACAACACCATGGCTAAAAAAGAAAAAGACAGACAGACAAACAGTAGTACACAAAACACAACATAGAAAACTAAAGACTGAGCAAGACAAACCCCACCAAAAGCTGGGGTGATCTCAGGTGCTCCGGAAGGGTAAGCAGATCCTGCTCCACATGTGGCTCCCGTCGTGTTGCGCATGTTAGTACAAACCAGTTAATAAGTCAAATTTGGTAGGTCATATTAGGGAAAAGGGGGGACGGGATTGTAGTTACGACATTAGGAACATATCCACTATCATTTGTGAAACAGATATTCCATAATGGTCAACCAACTCGTGATGGCGTCCGTAAAACTTACGAAGGGATGATTTGAATTTCACCACTTGGAACTCTTGGTTTAATAGCTTCCTTGTGAGCAGCAATCCTCTATCAAGGAAATCATGATAGGAAATACAAGCCCTAGAATATCGTATCAACTGGGAGATTAATACTCCATGTGCAGGCACTGCTGGAATGTTGCTACATAGAAATGGAAAGTTCACAATTGGGAAGCTGAAATCATCTCTTTTGTCATAAAGATTTGTTTTTAACCGACCTTCATTGTCAATTTCTAGATGTAAGTCAAGATATGAGGCAGACTTAACTGTATCTGTTGTATCTTTTATCTCAAGTGCGATGGAATAGATGCGTTCAACATAGTCACCAAATTTTGAATTATTTAGTGAGAGAACATCATCTATATAGCAGAAAGTAAAGTTAAATGATACTGTTAACTTCTTTTCTTTCTTCCTAAGAATTTCCTGTATGAAGTCAACCGCATATGAATAAAGGAACAAGTCGGCAAGAAGAGGGGCACAGTTTGTTCCCATGGGAATTCCCATTGTTTGTTGAAAAACATGTCCTCCAAACGTAACAAATATGTTGTCAATCAAGAAATCAAGCATTTTGATAATGTCAGTTTCAAAGAATTTTTTGTTGGAATCAGAGTGATTTTTTACAAAGTAGGATTTATCCCTCCCTAAAACAAGATACTTGTATCTACGTTGGCTAGTTTGGAATGGGGAATACTTGTGTAAAGTGTAGAAAAGTCAAATGTTTTAATACTATTGCAAGATGAAAGAGTCATAGATTGTATGTACTCTTAAAGATCTTTGGAATTTTTTAGTATCCACATCAGATTCATGCCACCTCTAGAATAGGTAGTTTCACAATAACTTTGAAGCCCGGCTTTGCATTTGATTGCTGATGAAATTGATGTTAATAATTTAGAAAGAAGTTTCAAGGAGTACTTGGAAGACCCAGCAATATATCGTTGTTTGTAAGGACACTTATGTAGTTTAGGTATCCTATACAGTGATGGAAGATCCAGTTCTTCATCTTTGGTTGAAAATTTTCCAAAGGAACATAGAACAGACCTATGAATATCCAGGATTTCCTCTTTAGTAAGTGTTGTGGGGGTAAATGTTGAGTTTCCAAGTGAATTGTCAATACCCAATTCATTTACCAAGCAGTTTATGCAATGTGATTTACACACAAAAACGATGTTGTTTGGGGATTTATCTGCAGGGACAATTGTAAAATTGGCGGACATGAATTTCCGAATAATATAAATTGAATGTTCATGAAATTCAGGTCAGTCAAATTTTACTGAGTTTGGTACAAAAATTTATTTTATAAGCAACTATTTTGCCTTGAAAAGAAATAGTTACTCAAAAAGATATTTGACCTGCATGTGCATCTTTGTTTCAGACATCTTGTAGCGAAATTTGTTGTTGTTTTTGGTTAAGGCCTTAATTGGCTCATATCCAATATTTATAATGATAAGATATGAAACTGAGGCTTTTTTGGCATTTTATGGCAGTCTTGTTTTCAGTAAAAGTTAGTTTGAGAATTGCAGAAGTTTTTAGGTTCTTTTTATGAAAACAACTGGGGAAAAATGTTTGTGTAAAGATACACTGTCTGAGATATATATCAGATTCTGTTATAGATTGTACATTATGTAGCAAAAATACTAGACATTTGATAAGTATGAAGTAATCTAATTTTACCTTAAACTTTGCAGAGGAAACATCTGCACAGCTTGTCAGACATTTAATGAAGACTGTTTGTACTGATATTACCAACATAGTTGTCAGTGCCGTAGCAACAGAACACATGATGTCAGTTCAAGAAGATACACAGTTAACAGCAGAAGTAAGCTTTATTATGTCATTTGATGATCAATGAAACCTTATGATTGCTTGCACAACTAAGTGTGCTTGAGAAGTACTACATATACAACAAAAAATCTATCCTTGTTTTAAGCAATTTTAGAATTCAATTGATACTGAGTTATAGGATGTTACATCTAGGTAGTGTTAAAATTGTCCACCATATTGTCCATCATTGCTGATTAATTTTGAAAGAAAATACAAGATTTGACATATATCCATTTGATTTCATAGTTTTTGAATGAAGTGAAATTCATAACTTTTTAAAACTGCCAAATTTTCTTTTTAGCTCACCTGGCCAAAAGGCTTGGTGTCCTTCGTCCATTAACTTTTACAAAATCTTCTCTGAAAATACTGGGCTAAATTTAATCAAACTTGGCCACAATCATCAAAAGGGTACCTTGTTTATGAAATTAGTCTGATGATCCCTCTTGTCAACCAAGATGGCCGATATGGCTAAAAATAGAACATAGGGGTAAAATGCAACTTTTGCCTATTATTTCAAAAACTGCTATAAATAGAGAAAATCTGACTGGCACATAAATGGTCAGAATGTAAAGCTCTAACTATTGTTCATTTTAGTCAAAAATGTCAGACAAATTCTTATTGGAGTTATGCCCCTAAAATTACTAATTTTACTATTTAAAAAAAAAAATTGCCTCTTATCTCGAAAAATTATAACAGATAGATAGAAACTTTTAACACCAAAAAAATCAGCAAGACAAGAACTACGAATAAGTCATCATGACCAAACTTGTCAGACAACTCCTTATTAGAGTTATTGCCCTTTAATGACCAACACAACAGAATCTACAAACAAGTCAACATAGTCGAAATCTTCTGTTAACTACTTATAAGAGTTATCGCCGTTCAATGACAATTTTCACCAATTTTTTCACGGTATGTGCCTAATATCTTAAAACTATAATAGATAGATCACTGCCATACCAAAAAAAAATCAAAATATAAAAAAAAAATGTAAGAATATTATGCAAACTTCCATACAATAAATGTTTTACATTTACTTCTGCCTGTTTTCATTAAAGAAAAAACGTCTCTCAACATTAAAAGTACAGAGCAACGTCAACGTACGTAACAGCAGTACCGTAATCGGTTTATTGATTAGCAATTAATTATTAATTAATCGGAATCGTGCTATTGTTATGGATGCTGTTGCGAATAATGTTTGGTGTTGTCATTGGTTCATGCTCTAATCTGACACAGACTGAATAAACTGAAATGCCATGATGGATAATCTGAAGAATGCAATAGCCAACAACAATCGCCAGTTAAGTTAATTGGGCAAATCTCCACAAATGTTGCTAGTTCTTTAAGTTTAACGCTTCAGCTTGGAAACATTTTCACGGTCGAAGAAGCCAGCAGTTTTTCTTTTGATGAATTCGGGATTGGTTTTGTTGGGGACTTCGGCATTTCATTTTTTTAATTCGGGATTTGGGGATAAGACCCCTTCCTACCCCTTTCTGCACTGTGCCCTTCCGTAACATATGCATAAAACCCGAGCCTAAATCACCATTATTTCACATGTTGAAAAAAAATCTATACTTCACTGGGCGGCAGTTTTCTCGAGACCGTCGATTTACTCTTTCCATTGATCATTACAATAATTTAGAAAAACTGTAGGAATGGTGTAGAATTCCTGTAGAAAGTGCATTGTATTTATGATTATCACTATTCTGGTCATATATTTTTTTTAATAAAGCGATTGTGGCGCGAAAAATCGCGATACCGTCGCTGGTGAAGTATAGATGCGCCCTTAAAAGCAAGCTACATGTATCTTGATAGTATAATATTTCCCAGAAGTCACAACATGATACGTGTACTGATTAGGGGTTCATCATTTTTAGCTCACCTGGCCCATGAGGGCCAAGTGAGCTTTTCTCATCACTTGGCGTCCGTCGTCCGGCGTCGGCGTTAACTTTTTACATTTGGAACTTCTTCTAGAGAACCACTTAATGGAATGAAACCAAACATGGCATGAATGTTCCTTATGAGGTGCTGACCAAGATTTGTTACTTTGTAGCGGATCCATCATCCAAGATGGCCGCCAGCGGGGGACTTAGTTTAACATAGGACCCTATAGGAAATACATACAAATGTCTTCTTTTAGAGAACCACTGAATGAAATGAAACCAAACATGGTATGAATGTTCCTTATGAGGTGCTGACCGAGTGTTGTTACTTTGAAGCCGATCCATAATCCAAGATGGCCGCCAGCGGGGGACTTAGTTTAACATGGGACCCTATGGGAAATACATACAAATGTCTTCTTTTAGAGAACCACTGAATGGAATGAAACCAAACATGGCATGAATGTTTCTTATGAGGTGCTGACCAAGTGTTGTTACTATGAAGCCGATCCATAATCCAAGATGGCCGCCAGCAGGGGTCTTAGTTTAACATTGGACCTAAGGGAAATACAAACAAATGTCTTCTTTTAGAGAACCAGTGAATGGAATGAAACCAAACATGGCATGAATGTTTCTTATGAGGTGCTGACCGAGTGTTGTTACTTTGAAGCCGATCCATAATCCAAGATGGCCGCCAGCAGGGGACTTAGTTTAACATGGGACCCTATGAGAAATACATACAAATGTCTTCTTTTAGAGAACCACTGAATGGAATAAAACCAAACATGGCATGAATGTTCCTTATGAGGTGCTGACCGAGTGTTGTTACTTTGAAGCCTATCCATAATCCAAGATGGCCGCCAGCGGGGGACTTAGTTTAACATGGGACCCTATGGGAAATACATACAAACGTCTTCTTTTAGAGAACCACTGAATGGAATGAAACCAAACATGGCAAGAATGTTCCTTATGAGGTGCTGACCAAGTGTTGTTACTTTGAAGCTGATCCATCATCCAAGATGGCCGCCAGCGGGGGACTTAGTTTAACATAGGACCCTATGGGAAATACATACAAATGTCTTCTTTTAGAGAACCACTGAATGCAATGAAACCAAACATGGCATGAATGTTCCTTATGAGGTGCTGACCAAGTGTTGTTACTATGAAGCCGATCCATAATCTAAGATGGCCACCAGCGGAGGACTTAGTTTAACATAGGACCCTATGAGAAATACGTACAAATGTTTTCTTTTAGAGAACCATTGAATGGAATGAAACCAAACATGGCATGCATGTTCCTTTTGAGGTGCTGACCAAGTGTTGTTACTTTGAAGCTGATCCTTCATCCATGATGGCTGCCAGATGGGGACAATGTTTAACAAAGGACCCTATGGACAATACATACAAATGTCTTCTTTTAGAGAACCACATACTGAATGGATTGAAACCAAACATGGCATGAATGTTCCTTATGAGGTGCTGACTAAGTTTTGTTACTTTGAAGCTGATCCTTCATCCATGATGGCCGCCAATGGGGGGACTTCCTTTAACATAAGACCCTATGGGAAATACATACAAATGCTTCTTCTAGAGGTGCACTGAATGGAATGAAACCAAAACATGGCATAAATGTTTCTTATGAGGTGCTGATTAAGTGTTGCTACTTTGTTGCCGATTTACTGTTCAAGATGGCCACCAGGATTTTTTATTAAATTACAGGACCAATATTAAACCAAATTTGGCCTCACTCATTATTAGGGTATCTGTTATGATTTTAATCTATTTTTACATGATTTCCAAAACCAAAGTAGAATCAGGTGAGCGACACAGGCTCTTGAGAGCCTCTAGTTTACCAATAAAGGTGGAAAAGAGGGAGGGCTTCCGATTTCTTGGGGGTATCAAGGTTTGTTTTGGATAGGGAAAAAATGTAAACTTATAATGAAAATAGATAAGAGGAATAACATTCCTTATTATTCTAACATGAAGAAAAGTTTTCCTTTTTGCAAGGGTGATTTTGGCATTTTTCATCGAAGTAAAATCAGAGATGGGGAGCTCCCCAAACCACTACCGGTAAAAATGATGAGTCCTTTGAAATCTGAAATCTGATTTCTTATGTAATCAAGTTTTCAATCAAGAAAATAAAAAGCCACCAAACTGTTAAAAAGGTGTAATGGAGTAAAAAGAAGAGTCGACAAGCAAAGCGCTATCCAAAAAAGAATCGCAATCAATGGACAAAAGACAAACCAGGGAACAAATAAGACACACAAAGACAAACAACACCATTCAACAATAAAAACTAAAAACAAATAAGTTCTTGACAGTCGCTGCATGATTTTCAAAAATCATATCCTACAAGGTCAAGACCTCCCCCCCCCCCCCCCCCCCCTAGTGTAGACTTGAGTGGTTGTCTTGAAAGTTCACATTAAAACATGTTAACCCCACTGCAATTTTGCGCCTGTCCCAAGTTAGGAACCTCTGGCCTTTGTTTTTCTTGTATTGTTTTCAATTTTAGTTCTTTTGTGTGTTATGGAGTCTAGAATGGAGTGCATTCCTCTGAACCAACTTACATCGTTGTTTCTGGGTCGGCCTACCCCAGTGTGTGAGGATTCCTGTATTGATTTGACACATTCCCGATTTCCATTCACTTTTCTATTCACTATAGCTCAATAGTTGTTTGCTGCACTATTGTTTTAATTTTTTTAAAATACTAAGATTTTATAACAAATAAACTGACAGAAATCTCTTATAAAGCATGAACTTTGCGCAATGATTTGTGGTGAAGTGAAGTGGCGAGGTATAATATGACAGTGTTGTTCTCATTCATTGATCTTGTTATGTAAATTACACAAAAATGGAAAACAAACTACAAAACCCGCAAGTGATTGGAACACAGACATTCATATTTGATTTTTTTCAAGTTGTCGAGTAAAAAATGCTGCTTTTCAAAAACAATTTTTAGTGCCAGGAAACACCTAGAATGCAGGATTTTAATGCTATTAATCCCAGAGCTTCTGGGGGCCTTCAGCAGCCCCATACCCCCTGCCATAATGCAGCCTTGTTCTTGTCCCTTTTGTCTAATTTGCCGAAACTGTACCATTATTTTTGGGCATGCTACGCCTATGTAGATAGAAACTTTAAAACCAAAAAATGATCAGTAAGACGAGATCTACATATAAGTCAAATAACCGAAATCGTTAGTCGACTCCTTATTACCCTTCAGTGACAATTTTCCCCATTTTTGCCTATTATCTTGAAAACTGTAATAGATAGATAGAAAATTTAAATAGAACAAATGATCAGCAAGACAAGTTCTACAAATAAGCTATATGGTGGAAATCTTCAGTCGCCTCTTTATTTCAGTTATTGCCCTTAAATGATAATTTTAAGATTTTTATGCATTTTTTGCCTTTTATCTTAAAAATATTATAGATAAATAGAAACTTTAAAAAGGAAAAATGTCAACATGACTGAAATTGTCAGTTAACTCTTATTAGAGTTATTCCCCTTTAATGATGATTTTTACTAAAAAGAGGCCATTGTTGAAGATGCAGGTAAGCGACACATGCTCTTTATAGCCTCTAGTTTCTTTTCCCTAAATCTTCAGGTTTATGGTGAACATTAGTCAATTCAAATGATTCTAAACTATGTTCTGAATATACCCTTGATTAGCTCACCTGCCCCAAGTCATCCTTAGAAAAAAAAAATCAAAATCAAAATCTTCTGAAACCACAACGGTTTGGAAACTTGACAGAAATTGTGTAAAGCATATCCTCTACAAACTATCCTCATTTTTATTGTAATCAAATGAAAAACATGGCCATGACAGAAAAAAAATAACATAGTAGTAAATCTGCAGTATTTGGCTTATATCTCTAAAAGAGCAAAACTGAAATAGCAAAATTGACCAGCAAGACAGGATCTACAAATAAATCAACATTATAGGAGTTATCACTTTTATACTTGGTAGGAGTTTTTTGCCATCATGTGTAGTTGACCATGTTTTACGACTATTTTGATTTAGTTAAGGGACAGCCATTTGTTGTAATATTGTGGCATAAAAAATTGAAAACAACACGTTTAATAATTTCATGCGTCCGAAGCGCTTTTCTGGATTTACCTTCATCAGGAACGCTCAAAGCCAACTTTTGAAATCCGAGGGATGTATAAGATTACTGAGTTTTCAATGGATTGATATCGTAAAATATTAGCCGCAAGCCAATATGTGACCTTTTTTGGCAAGTGAGCGTAGAGAACAAAGGAAAAAGCTTCACATTGTGTCGAGTGGCTGATATATTTCGATATGGTGATGTATAAAACATGAGAATCTGTTTATCTTGCCATTTATGGTCTTTTTGGCCTTCCTAAGACAGTTTTACGCTTGACAAAGTAAGCTTGATAACTTCTCTTCCAACATTGTGATGCTGCTGATGAGTTCTGCTCACATCTCAAAGCTGTGACAAGAGAAATATGGATCAACTGATCATGAACAGGGAGATATAGGCAAAGGGAAGCACGATAATGACACCTTATCAGTGCCAATCCTGAGACCATTTACCTGAAAGCTTTTATACATAGGAGAATTGTTCGTCAACTTGTGTAGTTGACCATAATATATAACTATTTTGATTTGACAATTTTTGCAAAAGTTTTTGGATTTAAATGAATTTGGCCTATTGAACTATAATGACGCTATGAGACATTTTGTCCAAAACCTCTCATATTTATTAGAATTGTAAGTCATGATGTGCAGTTGACCGTACCATTATGTCATTTTAATTTTGTGAATTTAGCAAGAGTTATTAAATTATTCAGTACAATGTACTGTCAATATCAATTAGTGTTACCGGTAGGTGAAAAACTTTTCATGGTGCTCCTAATTTTCTGATCTTCTCTTGAGATAAGTATACCAGTACTGCATAGTTACAAAGCAGCACTGGACATTTTGTTACACTGTAACAATCTTGTTATCTCAATAACAGTTACTATTGATAAACTTTTGGACATTTGGATATATTTGTTTTTAGTAAAATAAGATTTATTCAATGTCTTATTTCTTCAACAGGGAAGAGCTGCCATAATTGTTAAACTACCAGATAACTTACAGCAAATTTTGATAAAACTTCACACAACTCTCAGTGGAAAGGTATGTAACTCTTATGTGTAATATTTTATTACAGTATTACAAAAACTAAAATGGGCTTTATTTAACAAACATGTTTAGATCACCTGTATGTCATATATGAGCTATATATAATAATATCCCTTTGCTAACTTTGACCTTCTGTTCATCTGTCAGTCCATCCATCCTTAGACAATTTGCATTTTCATCATTTCCAACCAAATTTGGCAGGAATATTGAAATAAATGTTTTTTTTAAATATTCATTTCTTTTGATATCACTGATCAGATGAAAAACATAACCACCAGAGGCAATATTTTTGCCAATTTTTAAACAAATCTCTTAAAACGTAATCAAATTAAATCTTATTTGTAATTGAATGTCGGCGTCGTCCGAAGACATTTAATTTCCGGACAATAACTTTAGTTTAAGCATATGGATCTCTGAAATTTAATCAAAAGGTTCAATACCACAAAAGGAAGGTTAGGATTGTTTTTGGGGGTGATGGTCCCAACCGTTTAGGAATTAGGGTCCAGAAAGGGGCCAAAACAAGCATTTTTCTAGTTTCAGGACAATAACTTGTGTATAAGTATTTTGATTGCTCTGAAATTGTACCACAAGGTTCAATACCACAAGTAGAAGGTTGGGATTCATTTTGGGGGTAATTGCACAAACCGTTCAGGAATTAGGGGCCAAAAAGGGTCTAAAACAAGCATTTTTTTAGTTTTCAGACAATAACTTGTGTTAAGGTGTATGGATGTCTCTTAATTTGTACCTCATTTTACAAAAAGAAAATTTCTTCAAAATTAATTTTTTTGGAAAAGGGGGGGGGGGGGGCAATAATAACTTGTGTTAAGGTGTATGGATGTCTCTTAATTTGTACCTCATTTTACAAAAAGAAAATTTCTTCAAAATTAATTTTTTTGGAAAAGGGGGGGGGGGGGGCAATTTTTTTTCCTCAAAAGAAAATTCTCTTCAAATATTATTTTTTATTGAGGGGGTGTAAAAAAAAAAATTCGGGGGGGTCAATTTTTTTTCCTCAAGATTTAAGAAATCGTCAATTTTCCAAAGAAAAAAATTGGGGGTCACAATTCATTTTGCTAATTCTTTGTATATAGTCTGAAAACAGATTTACTAAGTATTGCGCAACAGCACAGTGTATTGCACAACAGCAAGAAATCTTCAATTGAATATAAATTCAAATCATACAACCAATTTCAAGTTCTTTGACTACATTTATTCTGTGTCAGAAACCTATAATGTGTCAAATATTTAATTACAATCCAAATTCAGACCTGTATCAAGCTTGAATATTGTGTCCATTTTTGCCCCAACTGTACAGGGTTGGACCTCTGCTGTCGTATCCAGCTGCGTTCGGCGAAGCAGTTTAATCACGAATAAGACTTGGATATTGTGTCAAATTAAATGATATAATTCAATACAAATAAGACTTACAAAAGCACATGGTTATTTTGTTTTCAAACACACCTTCTCTGTTTTGAAACTTAAGAGATTACAATTTGATTTTCTGGAAAGCAGCAGGGGGATTATGAATGATAAATAACTTGGCTGGGTAAGAAGTGAAAATAAATAACTTTGCACAAGACAGAATGAAAAATTGAATATTCTGCAGTACAAAATGCTGAAAAACAAATGTGTACAATGAGGCAGAAAAAATTAGCAAATAAATGATCCCCCTCCCCCCTCTTTAAAAAAAAAATTAAATGGTCTGGTCATAAAGGTATGGAACTCGACCTATATATTAGGTTTTAGTGTTTAAAAATCAACATTTATTTAACCTTCAAATATATGAAAATAATTGAATCTTTAGCGAGATGCTAAATCAATTTTTTTTATGCCCCCACCGTAGCGGAGGGGGCGTTAAGTTTTACCCTTGTCCGTCTGTACATACGTACGTCCGTCTGTATGTATGTCCTAAAGTTGGTTTCCGTTCTCTAACTTTATTTTGACTCAACCAAATGTTATGAAACTTATACACAATGCTTATTACCATTAAATACAGATCAAGTTTGAATTTTGGTGGCGTCACTTTTACCGTTCTAGAGTTATGCCCCTTTACAAATGGAAAATTTGCTAAATTTTTTGTTTCTGTACTATAACTTCAGTTTGCCTCAACCAAATGTTATGAAACTTATACACAATGCTTATTACCACAATATACAAATCAAGTTTGAATTTTGGTGCTGTCACTTTTACTGTTCTAGAGTTATGCCCTTTACAAATGGAAAAATTGCTAAATTTTTCTTTTTTTTCTGAAAGTATCAATCAAGTAATTATTTTTAAAATTGGAGTTATCTTCCATTGTCCATGATTATAGTTGAATCAACTACAATCAATGCTTTATACAATGCAATGTTTAATTTTGCCTTCCATTGATAAATTATTTATAGTGAATATAGCATCTTCTGCATGAAGAATTAATTTGATAGAATTTAATACAGTACTAGCTGTGTATTGATTCCTACACTTTTTCAAATGCTATATACAAAGGGAGGGAATTCAATTTCTTTTTATTAATCTAAAGTGGAGGTTTAATCAGGTTTTTCTGCAAACCAATATCCCTAAGCCAATAGCTTGTTTCAAAATTAGTTAAGATTTGTAAAAGCATTTTTGAAATGGAAAAAAAATGCAAAATTTTTAGTTTCTGTTCTCTAACTTAAGTTTGACTTTACCAAATGTTATGAAACTTATACACAATGCATAACCACAAAACACAGATCAACTTGAATTTGGGTAGTGTTACTTTAACCAAAATCAAGTTATGCCCCTTTATAAATCGAAAAATTGCAAAATTTTTAGTTTCTGCCTATAACTTAAGTTTGCCCCAACCAAACATTATGAAACATATACACAATACTTATTACCACAAAACTCAGATCAAGTACAAATTTGGGTAGCGTCACTTTTATCGTTCTTGAATTATGTCCCTTAATAATGTTGTATGCAAGCAGGGGCATCATCTGTGTCCATGGGGACACATTCTCCATTTATTATCATATGTTATAAGGAGAAAAAGGTACAACTATAAAAGCAAGATAGCACCCCTAAATGTGCAAGGTGTACCGGACTTACTCTTTCACGATAAGAATTTAGCTATTTCAGTATATTAACCAAACTGTATCCAAGGGCAGATATCTAACTTAGAAATTTATCAAATCAATCTTTACTATTTCTTAATTTTTCCAAAAGAGTTTATGAGAATACACCATCAGGATCTAAACTGATTTTCACCTGCCATTATTAGATTTTATGTGAATATATTTCTTAAACTTAAAAGATGCATTATAACTTCTAGCTCTGGTGTATAAATAAGAATACAACATATTACTCTTAAAACGTCATTACAATTATTCTATATACAAGATGTGCATATCCAGGTCTTCTATCTTCTCTATTATAAGGCTTTATATAAATAGTATATGCCGTAGCTGCAGCCGGATTTGCATTTCTTGTATACCAATTTATAAAACTTGTATCATAGATTTACGTCAGCAATGTCTATGACGAGTTCGAAAATCAGTGCGGATGATCTATTTTTAAAAGAGTTATGCCCCATTGCAAACATTAATTATATGGAAAATTGCATATTTAGCGCTCTCATTTGTACATTTCTTGCCAGATATTTATGAAACTTATATTGTAGGAGTATATTAGCTATGTCTTGAATGAGTTTTAAAATCAGTGTTGATCAGTTATTTTTAAAAGAGTTATGCCCCTTGGAAACATTTATTATATGGAAAATTGCATCGTTAGCGCTCTCATATGTAAAATTCTTGCCAGATTTTAATCAAACTTATATCATAGATTTATATCAGCAATGTCTCTGACGAATTCGAAAATCAGTACTGATGAAGTTTTTTAAAAAAGAGTTATGCCCTTGGAAACATAATTATATGGAAAATTGCATTGTTAGCGCTCTCATTTGTGCAATTCTTGACAGATTTTTATGAAAATTATATTGGAGGTTTATATCAGCAATGTCTTGGACGAGTTTGAAAATCAGTACCAATCAATTATTATGCCCAATATTATTGACTAATTATTGACATATAGCTAGGCGATGAGGGCATTAAGTGTTACCCTTGTCCATCCCGATCCTGTACGTCCATACATCTCCAAAATTGGTTTCAATTCTCCAACTTTAGTTTGCCATAACCAAATGTTATAAAACTTATACACAATGCTTATTACCACAGAACACGGATCAGGTTCGAAATTGGATGGCGTCACTTTTACTGTTCATGACGGGTGCATGAAGTGTTACCCTTGCCCGCCCCATTCCCAATCGTCCATACATCCCCAAAATTGGGCTCCATTCTCCAACTTTAGTTTGCCTCAACCGAATGTTATGAAACTTATACACAATGCTTGTTACTTTAAAACACAGGTCAAGTTCAAAATTGGGTGGCGTCACTTTTACCGTTCATGATTTAGGCCCTTTATAAACATAAAAATTGCTGAATTTTTCGTTTCTCTTTCCTAACTTTAGTTTGCCTCAACCAAATGTTATGAAACTATATGTCAATAATTAGTATATTGACTCATGCATGTTTACAATTGGGGGCATCTGTCAAGCCTTCATTTCTCTAAGATATTTATAAAAAGTTTTAAAGAAAGGAAAAAAAAGTGATTATTTTTAGTTATTGCTCGTCGATCATGGACAGATAAAATATGTGCAATGCAGATCATTGGAACTCCCTTTTTTTATTTACTAAAGAAGATATTTTGTTTTTATTAGAAATGTTCTTTAAACTGGTTGTAGTTGCCTTTAAAAATTAGTCAATAATACTTATAATAAAGGAGATGTGGTATGAAATTAGTCAATAAGATGACTATCCAACTGTCCAAATTAATGCAGATTTAAACAACTATAGGTCACCGTACGGCCTTCAACAATGAGAAAATCCCATACTGTATAGTCTGCTATGAAAGGCCCTGACTTGACAAGCACAAATAATAATGGTCTGATTTATGACAAAACGATAAACGAAAAACAAATATGACAGATGGCAACCTACAACAACTAAATTAAGGGTTACTGACTAGGGACGGGCACATATAGAATGTGGGGCGTTTTAACCTGCTTGTGATCGCTCAAATCTCCCCTCACCTGGGACAGTGAACAGCACAGCATAAGAACAAAACAGGTTTTTCTTTGAAAGAAAAAGATATATAATTAGTAATTTATGTAAAACTATATTTTGTGACCTGGTCCATGTTTGGCAAACTGAATACCTGTTTAAAGAAAGCATATGGGGAAAAGACATTTTTCCAAGTAAACACTACGATGATACATGGGATAATCGAAGTGTAAGGCGAGTCATTCTTAATTGTGTATAAAAAGATTTTCTCACAAGGTTAACAGTTCAAATATTCTAGTTTACATAAAATGTGTATGTAAAATATCATTTGAATTTGCTTGTTTAATAATGACAGCTGTCATTTAACCATACATATAAGATATATAATGCACAATTAGGTATTTGAACTTATAGCACTATTTCTTGAAAAGGACGGCATATAAATGTTTTAAAACTAGCAAGTTGCCATACAGTTGGAAAACTAGTTGCCGTACTGTAAATCTGTAAACACAAGCAAGTTGCTGTACCCTATACTTGATTGGTTTTTACCGATATTCTTTAGAAAACATCATTTGATAGCGAATTTCAGTAAATACGATGTCACACTATCATAATCTAAAAAAAAATTCTGGAAAAAGAGTAAAAAACAGTTGAATGTCAGGCCAGCGGGACATCAGAGGGCGATCGACCTTGAAATTTTCTGTTACCAAGTGCACGGTTTTGGAGTATATCACGAAAGCTTGTCTTTGTTTGCTACTTATTGGTATAAAAAAATTAAAGCACTATATATCAGAAATTTGTTTCATAAGTGGTAACCTCATCAAAAAGGTAGAAAGGGTTTAGATTTAAGGACTATTTCCTTGTTTATTTTTATTCTCCTTTCTCTCCACTTTGTTGGTACCCAATATAAGGTGTCAATGATACACAGTGAATAGTATGATAAATATCAAATGGGGGACCATTTGCTCAGGAGGGGGGCTTGTAAAAATATGTCACTATTAGTAATTCTTTTGCTTAAATAGGGCCTTCATTTATCAATGCACTTCTTCAAAAACTATGCCAGCTGGTCAATATAAGCTGTTCCCCTTTATTTAGGGATGTGGGGTATATGAGCTTGTTCACTTGAGGTTCTTTCATTTTGAAAAAAAGATTTCAGTCATAGAATATACTTCAAAAAATATTGAGAAATGCTTTCTTATTATTGTCACCATTGGGAAGATACATTTAAAAACTTTATTTATTTCAGGCTATGAATTGTCACTTGGCAAGATTATAATTACTGTAAAAGTTTTATCTTACTCAGCACAGTTATGCATAAAACTCAGGTGACATTTACAGGTTCTATTTTGTAGTTAATATTTCATTTATATTTCAGCATGAAAACATCAGGCGACCACATTGTAAACAAGTATATTAATATAAGTATCACAAGTATTGTCCTCAATTTTATTCCCTAAAGTCTTCAACATTACTGTCATATATATATATATAGTTGTTTTAACTGGTGGGTAAAACTGTATATTTTCCAAATTTTATATACTCCCTTTCTTTTTAGTCTCTAGAAGAGTTCAACAACCAGCTGAATATAATCTGTAGTCCAGAACATCTTGGAATAATGCTGAAGAAACCAGACAAAAAAAAAGAAAGGTAATATGTGCAAATGTAGATCCATTGTAATAGATTGTACATTTGTAGGTGCAGAAAGTTGAATTATATATTTTATTCATAATTTATTATACACTAAACACCTAACAACAAATTCAAATTGTTTGATTAAGTGAAAGCTGACATGCAGGGACTAAACTTAAGTCACCCAAGTCAACCCGATTTTTAGCTGGGCGAATATATGTTATCATCCTGATCGCCCAGCTGGCAAATGTGAAATATTTTGCAGTGAAACCGAAAACCTTTTCCCCTGCGATATAAACAAAAACTGTTCCCAAAGGGAAACATGATTGTCTAATAAAAGCAGGAAAATTAAAGAGAGGAATTCTGGAAACCAGTAAGTTCATTTTAATAACCAAAATCCTGTCAGACAACTAAGTTTTCGATGCAAAGTCATGATTTGACATATACCCCCTTCTCTAAATATGTGTTCTTATTGACTAGCCTTGACAGAGTCAAAACGCAAGACATAAGTATGCTGTTTCCGGCAGCGGAGACATCACCAATGAATTAGTTTTGATTAGGTCAGTTTATGGGGAACCACTAGTGGTAGGTCAATGTTATTTTGTATGCAGTTGTATATATAACAAAATTGGCACATCTCATTTCCATGGAGATTATTTGGCCCCGCCCTCCCAGTCATGGTCTATTGACTGTGAAACTTTTGCATAGTTTACATGTATTAGTTTGTGATTAGGGCGGTTTTAGGGGAACCACTAGTGGTAGGTCAATGATATTTGGTATGCAGTTATATTAGCATTGACACATCTCATTTCCATGGAGATTGTTTGGCCATGGTTCATTGACTTTGAATATTTTGCATAACGTACATGTTAAAGTATTGCTATTTAAATTTCAACATTTGTGTTTTACTATCAAAAAACAAAAAGGTGAGACATATCTCTGGGTTAACAGTTTATCTTTCTTTTAAAGATTCTATGATTATTTTATTATTGTTTAGTGTTTTTGTCTAAACTGTTGAATCTGCATTGCTTCAGAGATTGATTCCTGTTGTCCAAGGATTCATTACAAGCCTGTAGTTGATGATAACTTGTCCACCCATTGCTATTTACAAAATCGTCCATGAAAAACGGAATGCAAAAGTAAATGAATATCAAAATATACAGTTTGCTATCCAATCTTCAATCAAATGTAATTGATTTATATTTTTGATCAACACTATAAGAGGATGTCTTGGATTTGAAATAGCATTTAATGATTCATAGAAACAGCCATATTGTCCAAATGTCAACATGAAGTTCAAATTGAAGGGAGACAATTTCGGTGGGAAATGTACTAAAATAAGTATTGTCAAATCTTATGATATATTTCTGGTTGCAATAATTCAAATATTATAAAGTTATCACACATAATCTTCACCAGACTCTAAAGCTACATATAGGATTATCTAAAAAGGTTTTATTAGTATATGACAAGTACATTTAAGTTTTTTTTAATTAGTATAAAAATTGGTTGGGCCCCTAAAATTTCAACTGGGCCCCTGAAAAATATATGTTTGGGCCCAACTGGCCCCTGGAGAAAACAAGTTATATTTAGTCCCTGACTGTGGTTTACACCATTGTTTGTAAGAAAAAACTTGAAAGAGCCAAGAATTGATCTTGTTTATCAAGCAATATTTTTATTATTAGATGTCAAAGTCAAGCAGTGCAGTAAAAATCAGTACAAACACAAAACTGAAACACAAATTTTGATAATTGAAAAAAAAAATAACACTTTATATGAATTTGGTGCATCCAAAGGGCTTTTTGTCGAGCTTTCGACTTTAGTCGAAAAAGTGTGACATAGCGATCCTACATTCCGTCGGCATCGTCATTGTCGGCGGCGTCCACAAATATTCACTCTGTGGTTAAAGTTTTTGAAATTTTAATAACTTTCTTAAACTATCCTGGATTTCTACCAAACTTGTTTATGATCATAAGATGGTATCCAGAAGTAAACTTTGTGAAAATAAAATTCCTGTTTTTCCGTATTTTACTTGTAAATGGACTTAGTTTTTCCGCCAGGAAACAATACATTCACTCTGTGGTTAAAGTTTTTAAAATTTTAATAACTTTCTTAAACTATCCTTGATTTGTACCAAACTTGGACAGAAGCTTGTTTATGATCATAAGATAGTATCCAGAAGTAAATTTGTTAAAAAAAAATTTCATTTTTTCCGTATTTTACTTATAAATGGACTTAGTTTTTCCGCCAGGAAACAATACATTCACTCTGTGGTTAAAGTTTTTAAAATTTTAATAACTTTCTTAAATTATCCTGGATTTGTACCAAACTTGGACAGAAGCTTGTTTATGATCAAAAGCTAGTATCTAGAAGGAAATTTTGTTAAAATTTTGTGCCTGTTTATCCATATTTTACTTATAAATGGACTTACTTTTTCTTCCAGTTAACATTAAATACAGTCTGCAGTTAAAGTTTTTAAAACTATCCTGGTTTTATACCAAACTTTGACAGAAGCTTCTTACAATCAAAAGATAGTATCTGAAGGAATATTTTTATTGATTTTTTTCTTCATTTTTGTTGAGCCTGCGATTAACAGCAAAAGTCGGCAAGACACTGGGTTCCGCAGAACCCTTATGAATTTTCTGGATTTAAGTTCTTACAGAAAGCTTTAAACCCAAATTTTGAAATACTTGAGGAGATTTATGATTAGACTGAACTTTAAAGGAATGGCAAGGACCATCTAAAGTCAACTATGCCAACAGAATTTTTACTGGCATGGTTCTTTTACTTTTTTATAGCCTGTACAAAGAAATTCAGAGGGTTATAATGTTTTCTACCTGTCAGTCCTTTGTCAAAACTATGTTATCACCAGTTATTTCAGGGATTCTCATCAAATTTTGATGGAGTCTTCCACTCTTCAAAACCTCAGATAATTTTGATAATCAAATCTAAAACTGGAGATCATTTCTTTGGAAGGGGGATTTGTAAAAGTATCATTTAGTATTTATTTTCACTGTGATAGTGCCTCCCTTTTTAGCTCACATAAAGTGAGCTTTTCTCATCACTTGGTGTCCGTCATTGATGTAAAAAATCTTCTCCTCTGAAACTACTTAAACAATTGGAAATAAACTTGGTCACAATCATCTTTTGAGTATCTAGTTAAAAAAAGAATTGTGTCTGGTGATCTCACCTTCCAACCAACAAGGCCCACATGGCTAAAACATTATCTTGAAAACAGCTGTAGATAGAGAAAATCTGACAGGAAAGAAAAGTTTCAGATGTCAAGATCTGCCTACTGCAGAGATGCCAACCCCATTGTATGTCAATTAGGAGAAATAAAGTCGTGAAGCGACTTTCACACCTCGCAAAGCGAGGTGTCTTTATGGCTGGGGGTCTGGTGCCCTCTCAAGGACCCCAGAAGCTCTGGGGTAAATGAAGCAAAATCCTGCATTCTAGGCCTCTCCTGTCATAAAATTTCCACTTTTAATTAGTGTTTTTATATTTAGATTTATCTTGATCAACATGAAATATTACTCAAAGTGTGAAAAAGGTCTCTCCTGCAAGTTTGATGTAATTCACTGCATCTCAATAATGACTTGTGTGTATATTTGGATACTCAATCATAGCAACTTCAAGCCCCATAAGCAATAGTATATGTATACTCTTGCTTAGGGGCTTGAGGTTGCTTTGATCAAGTATCCAAATATACACACAAGTCATTATTGAGTGAGATGTAGTAAAAGACATCTGGAAATAAGATGCTTAATCAAAATTTCAGTTTTCCAGGATCCTACAAGATTTTTTTAGGGAGACCACTGCTATAATATCCTGCATACCAGTTACAGTGAAAAATGTAAAACCCCTTCTAACTCCTTTACAAATACAATGTAAAACCTTAATTTAAAAACTCACAAACTCATAGTTTAATGATGCTCATCCTTTATAAAAATCAATTCTGGTTTAAGAGAAAATGCACTTTATAAGATAGCTGCATATGTATGTACATGTATGTATGTTAACAAACAACATAGAAAAGTTGATTCATACAATGATTTGATTATTGCAAAATTAGTTCAACATTTATGATTATAGGCAGCACTTTTGCATTGTTTCAGAAGTTTTTGTGACGGTTCACAGTTGTACGTGTGTTCACCAGTGCTTGCCATATAAGTTTTGTTGGAAATCAAGGAACTCAAAGTCTTTGTGGTCATATTGGGTCTATACTTTGTTTTTTTAATGGTTACAAGACTAAATGTCCTTTCACATTCAACATTTGAATGAAAGATTACAAGTATTGGCAGCATGAATGAAGCAAGATTTCCATATTTTGATTTTCCTGTTGTTACATCTTTTATCTGACTTAAAAGATGCCACTGTACATCCAGTCTTTCTTCAGAAAGAATCTCCTCTGGAAGTTTATCTACTTGATATTCTATGAACTCCATTTCCAAGTCATCCTTTGAGTTCTTCTCAGCAAAAAAATTGGATAGTAACTTGAAGCGTTTAAGAAAAAAGTCTACAGAGGAAAATTCAAAGGCATCTCGCTTGCTCGTATCTGCTATGGTTGCATTCTTTAGAACTTCATCACCAAAGGGAAATTTCTTTGCCATATAAGAACATATTGACTCATAATAAACTCTGACAAAACTTTGCAAGGTCTACTATGTCTCCATATTTTGCAACAAAATCTCTGGCCTCTTTCCCGATAAATAAATTAGCATCATCTTTCTGATTTGTTCTATCTAAGAAATCAACAGACAAAACTGACTTGGCTGTACTCATAACTCCTGCTTTTACAAACCGGCACAATAGCTTTTCAAATAAACTCAACAAAACTTCATGAAGAGTGTGAATGCATGGTTTATCATTCTGAAGAAGCTTATTCGAAGTATCAAACAGACCAACATTTGCTAGCACAAAGAAGCAATACAGTTTCATGGTTTTGCTTCTTAACATATCATAAATTTCTTCAACTTTCTTAACCCTAGCTGATAGCTCCTTAGAAGAACTTTTGGAAC